ACAAACACAATTAAAGTGGAAAGCTGGATAAAATCATGCATGTTTGCTGTAGCTTTACGGAAAGAAACCAAGTCACCATTCACCAAGCTACAGATGTTTACGGAATTACGGATTTTTAATCACGTTACTAAGCATTATTCTTTTTAGCCAACCATTATTCGTACTCCGTTTGCCTTTAAACAATACGGAGTAAATCATATCTTGTGTGTCACATGATGACATGATCAATGAACCACATTTAATTTAGAGTTTGTTCTCTTCAGCTTATTTTCAGTTCAATTCAGTGTAGCTCCAATAAATTCAGTTTAATTTATTTTTTTTATCTTAATTTCCATTCTCTCGTAAAATATTCAATTCAGTTCAGTTCAATTCTGCTCCAATAAATTCAGTTCAGTTCAGCTTATTTAAGTCAATCAGAACAAACCCTTACTACTACTATATACTCGTACAACATTATTGTAGTAGTCTATCTGTTACTGTATAAACATTACTTTTTCGTCTGGTTAATGCTATAAATAATTTAAGTTCTTATAAAAGTATACTTAATGGATAATATAGAGCTTATGGTATAATTTAACTTACTAAATATAGAAAGTAATCTATTATTGTTAACAAAGAAAGTGTAATAGATCAAACGTGTAAAAGGATAACGCCATCTTTTAAAAAGAAAAACCAATTATATGTACTTTTCCCATATTAAACGAGGATGGGGAAAGGAGGACCATAGCTAACCTATTTAATCATGAAAGGCCCTTAACCCAAAAAAAAAAAAAAAAAAAAAAGGAAGAATATGGTAGATTGTAGTTTGCACACTGCTTTTCCAAAGCATAATCTTATCTAACACGTTTATCACCTTAGCACATTCGAAGTTTCGAACCCACCGTATAGCTTTAGCTTATACATACGAATAAAAATATATTTTTCACTTTGAGCATATGTTTTAACTTCTTGGGGTTACTCCATGTTAGTAATATTGAATTGATTACTTTTTTTTGGAGCAAAGAACCGAGGCTATAACTTTATAGCACAAATTTTGACTAGTAAATCAAAGTCGAAAATTTAAAATTAATATGAATGCCAACTAATTTAATTGATTAAGTTTTGAAGTTAATAGCTATGGAGTAATACTTTAGCATTTGACATCGAATTCCATCCGCTTTTAGCCAACGGCTGAATTGATAACGCTAAACAAATACGAAGTATAAAGTAGCTTTAAGGTGAAATTCTCACTTTATGTACTTTTACCAATCTAACAACTACTTTTACAGAACTTTGAGTTTTGACATAAATTTGGAATGTGCATCTTTAGTTGGGTTATTATAAGCGAACCTGAATCAGGGTTGAAATGTTACAGTCTTGGACTACTATATAAGTTTGGGCTATGTATAAATTATTTTGGGCTGGATTCAAAGTTATAGCCTAATAAAGGAATTTCCCATTTCCACATGGACTTGATCATGTTCAATTCTAATCATCAATACCATTAATCATTTTGTCTCCCTAATTTGTACTTATTCTAATAATTTTGCTTTGGTAGCTTGTATTTTGATGATTTTTAAAAATTGTTTAACTCTGCGAATTAGATACTAATATATACTACCTCCGTTTTTATTTAGTTGACACGTTTTGACTTTATCACTATTCACACACCTCCCTTTGACCATGTTTTGTGCTTTATACGTAATGAATAATATAGTCATATGAGATCTTGTTAGATTCGTCACGTTATATACTTTCAAAATATCAAGTTTTTATAATTTTTGCTTATCGATAATTAATGATATTAATGCTTGAATAAGTGCATTGGAAAACGTGACTAAAGAGACATGTCCACTAAAAAGAAACGGAGGAAGTATAAACCATCAATTAAATGTAATGAACAAAGTCATTAAAGCATTAGTATATTCATATCATGAATATCATCCGTATAGATTCATCGTTTCATATAGTATATAGATTCCAATAAACATCTTTCAAAACTCGATAACCATTTTCACTCTTAAAACCCTTAAAATAAGACGAAAAATTAAGGAAGGAACCCTTCAATGAGGCAATGAGCTAAGAAGAATAATACTTGCCCCATTTAGTTCTAGTTGCCAAAATTGTTGAATTTATGCATTGAAAACCGTGAAAATAGAACTAGCATAAACCAATGACAGTGTACAACATTATATGGGCCTTTTAAGGCCTTTAAATTCGTAATAGATGGCTCTTATCTTAATTCACTAAATCATTGGAAAGGAATTTTCGAGTCCATATCATAAAACTTTATGAGATGGAAATTAAATATAAATATGACCGTAGTAGTTTGAATTTGGCCCACTAACATTTCTAACATAACAGAATCTCCCTTGGGCCTTGGCCTTTGTCTTTGCTTCTCTAAAATTGCAAACATTTGCTTGCTGTTTTCCCTTCATGTTTTTTATTTGAAAAGGGTTAGTAAGCTCCAAATTTTAAAAACCAGTTATTAGTTATGTTATGTGTAATTGATTGCATGCAAACTATATTGATGTTTGTTACCAGATCTTATAAAAACTACTAAAATAATTTCATACGTACTTTCCCCTTCTATTGTAATTGCTCTATTATCTAGATTTTCATGATTCTCGACATATAACTTTATCTACAGTATTAAATTTGTAACAAGTACCGTAACAAATATAAATTTGATATTTTAAAGTATATATACCTTGCTATTTAATAAAATTTCACATGTCTATATAATTACAATACTTTAAGAAGAGTGTATGAATATGATAAAAATTTTCCATACATGCTCCAATAATAAGATAGCTATCTATAAACAACAAGCTGAGTTAATATGATAACATCAAAAAGATATTTCACCAAAGAAAGTCTATAGTCAAAAGGCTACTAAATTTTCATTCACCAAAAGTCACATACTCACATGGATTGAAAAGTTGAGCCTAAAGGAAGGATGCTCCACTTTATTTTACTTCCTCAATTTGACCATATTTTTTCTAAGAGAGAATTTGTAGTTTAAATATTACAAATAATATGAGATAGGATTATTACTCAATAAATTTTTAGTGTTCTAACAAATAGAAATGTTTGATAATATAAAATTTTAACCAACGAAAATACAAAACTGATATTTTAAAAAAAAAAAATAGACATAAAGACTGATTTTACAATAACTACATACATAATTATACATTTATACCAGTATACAAACATAAATATTGTTCAAAATACTATACATATAAAGAGATTTAAACATAAAATGGAATGGTTAAAAACACAAAGGACTGAAGTACTATTTATTTTTAAATAATGAAAAAGCACGCTTACAATCTTATGTGTGAAAGTGAGCAAAAAGTCAGGTGAAATCACAAAAATAGTGTACACGTAGCATAGATATTTTTTGTATGGAGGAAAACAAGTATAGTACGGAAACTAATCACGAGCTAAAAAGCAGGGCAACCGGGCACGAGCAGCGAGTAGTGTGTATCCATGTCCCACCACCCGTCCTTTTTATTGCTGAGTCAACAAATTACATTCTAAATTATGTTTTGAAATTTCCAAAATTAGTCCTATTATATCGTTAAGTGAGTAATTTAATGATATAATGAATTCTCTAAGCTAGATCCTTATTCATCGAGAGTCTCTTCCATTTTAAGACATGTCAGAACTACCCACATCCCCTGCCCATACTCTCTAAATCTTGCTTGTCTCTTTCATAGTGGTACGACTAGTCAAGTACGTGTACTGTTACTATTAAAGTGTTTATTTGGTTGTCATAAAATTATACAGAGTACTCGGTTATAGTAGTAGAATTGATATGTCATATAATACGGAGTAGTACGGAGTACTATTTATTTTATAATAGAAAAAATAAAAAAAGTTAAACATAACAGATGAATAATGTAAAAATCAAATTAATACATTAAAAAAAAAGGATAAACAAGAAAATCTATTCTAGAGTACTATGTATTTGATTAGGTTGGTCTCATGAGAAGTGTACTAGGAGTATTCCATTTACTCAATAAACTTTACAATATTACTTGTTATTTTAAGGAGTTTATTTAATATTCTGAAATTGTCATTGAGATAATATTATTCATACAATTGTTGGGATTAAATTATGATTCAACGTTTAATATGCATGCTAAAAAAAGTATGAGTAACTTGAGAAAATCCATAATTTACTCTAATGAGGTTGAAGATTGAGACATTAATTTGGGACAAAAATAGAAAATTGACTAGTAGCTTAAAATGGAGTAATTACCTTCACATGTCCAACATTTTAAAATTTTTACAAGTGTTATTTTGCGAGCGAGACGAGTGTTCATCATTAAGTAACCAAAATATCTTACTGACTTTCCAATCAGATATTCATATGTGTACTAAAATATTCTTACATTAACCAACTCAAGCTATACAAGGAAGTAGGTACATAGAAAAAAAAAAAAGAGATTTTATTTTATTTATTTATTTTTGGCATTTTCTATGGAGTTACACTACTATGTTAACTAATACGGACTACTACACAAAAATACTAGAACTAATTATATTGTGAAAATATCTTTATGTTTACAACCCCATTAGAGCCATATAAAAGGATATTATGTTATGAGAGAAAGAGAGAAATTCATACTTTTTTACTTATTTTAATTGTAATGTATTTTGACACTATTTACATGTTTCACACCAAATCTTGTTAAAAATCGACAATACATTAAAGGTTAAAATTGTGCATGGGTAAACATATATAAACACAACAAAACTAATTTCTTAAAAAAAAAATAAGAGAAATGCACCATATATTAAAAAGAGCTTAATTTAATGATACTACTAAATTAAAGTATATGCATAGGTGGTATAGTCGAATTATCAGTTTATAAGAATCTTCTCGACAAGGTTTGCTCAATGCCAATGCAAAGTTGCAAACCCTACCAAGCTTAAATAAAATACCGACTTAGTAAATTACAACTACAAGTTGTATTTGTATTGTATTGCCACATTAGGACCCCTAAAAAAAAAGGAATTACAATAGTTCCCCAATTCCAACCAATATAGTAATATACACACCTTATCAAAGAGAGATCACACAACTCACAACCTTTGAATATCTCCTCTTTGGTCAATTCATCCTTTCTATTTTTTTTCCATCTTTAAACACCTACATATAATCCCCTTCTTTTTCTCACACTTTCTCAATAAAAATAACAATCCTTTGAATCTCTCTTCTCAAATCTCAATCCAATAATCTTTCTTTTTCTCATTCTCATTTTCATATTTTCTCTTCTAAACAAAAATGAGGGTGAACATTGCTCAATCAACCCCTCCTCTTTCTCCTCCATCTCCTCCTCACAATGCATCGCAATCTTCCTTGTTTCCCACCACCAAACTCCGCCTTCATCGCTCTCCTTCCGCCACCGTGCTAACCAGCGCCACCCTTTCGCGCTCCAAATCTACGGACCTTAGCCTTCTTCGTAGATCCGTCAGCGCTAGCTTCGACGGTCATGATTTTCCTCATCATTATCACCACGAAAATCACACCCACAACAAGAAACTCAATTTCCCCACCTTTCAACGCTCTTCATCCACCACTACGACGTCGTCGTTTCGACACTCGGATTTACAGGTGGATGTTCTAGAACCTTCTTCTTTGGGTATTCGACCCGACCCGCCAGTTTGGCCCGCGAGAGAGGCCGTGATTCGGGATTGCATTGCTAGAAGAGCGAGCAGCATTGAGCTCCCTCTTTCTCTGAAAGTGCTGAAAATGAAGCAGAAATTGCTGCGATTAGAGGAGGAGAGAGAAATTGGGGATCTCGAAGAACATATGAAGGATAACCCCATTAATAATTTGTGTTGTTCGACTTTGTATATAATCAAAGAGGTTCAAACCCAGGCTTTGAAAAGCAGGGGATTGGTTTTAGATGAAGAATTAGATGATGGGGTTGTTAGCAAGATTCAAAGGGAGATGACATCTTCACTTATTTGGTTATTTAGGGAAGTTTTTTCTAAAACCCCTGATTTAATGCTGGAGATTATGCTTCTTACCTCGAATTTCGCCTCATTTTCTATTGAAACTTTGCTCCCTTTTGAAAATACCCAGAAGATTTTTAAGCAGAATGATGGAAATTGGGCACTTGGGCAATTGGAATTTGCAAAATCAGGGGTAGTGGAATTGGAAAAATTGGAGGAAAAAGAAAATAGTTTGTGGAATAATATAGTGGAAGAAGCTATTGAGATTGGAGGTTATGTGAAGAATGAAGTGTTAGGATTCGTAATTGATCAAGATTATCTTAAAGATGATGTAAAAGAAAATGGTGTTAAAGAAGATGATGTTTATGACGATAACAAGTTCCAATTCATTTCACCAATAGGAGTTGAGATCGAAGCGGATAATTACGAGGAGTATTATAGGACTGATCTTCATTACCAAATGGGGTTATTTCAGGATCCTAACAATACCCTTTTGCTCTCTAATTATGCTCAGTTTCTCTGCCTTGTTTCCCGGGATTATGACAGGTATAATTTTTCATCTTAATTATTGTTTGATTTAGTTTGAGAAAATTTATAATTTAATCATACAATGGGAAATGCTTGAAATAGATTAGTTTCTTAAGCCACCTGTTTTTGCAATTACGAAAATGGAAATTGTTTGTCTTTGGTTAAAGTTAGATAGTTTGCTCTTGATTTATTATACGTTGGTTCTAGGTACACTCGGGTGTAGGATAGAAATGGTAGATCCTAGACGATAAGTCAATAGATATCTAACTATCTAAGCATACAAGTGCCAAGTGGTCCTTGACTGGTACTCTTTATTTTGTAATTGATTTTGTCTCATAGCAGAGTTCATGGCAGCTTGAAAATATCAAGCTGTATTATTTCTTGTTTTACCTAACTCAGTAATGAAGCATGTGATTGCTTAATTGAAGCGACGAATTGGTGGCATCACCATGTTGTTTGAACAATAGGAGATTAATAAGATCTTTTGTTCTTGTATTTATATACTTTGTTTGTTAATACTTCAGGGCTGAGGAGTGCTATAAGCGTGCAATACAATTGGATCCAACTGATGGAGAGGTAATAACACAGTATGCAAATTTCTTGTGGGTGGTGAAACATGATCTATGGGAAGCTGAAGAGAGATTCCAACAGGCTATGGCGGCTGAACCCGACAACTCCTTTCATGCATCAAAGTATGCAAATTTCTTATGGAGCACCGGGGGTGAAGATACATGTTACCCTCTAGATCCTCCCTGTGCCAAAAGCTAACGGGAAAGGCTCTGCAATGTGAATAATAATAGTAACAATTGTTCTCGGTTTAAATTTACCATAATAAGATAGATTAATTATCAGGGTAACATAATAATGGCATATTTGTAGTACAGTAGTACCATTGCCGGTTTGTGAGGATTCCAGTCTAGAGCCACTGGATATCTTTTTGTACAACTCCTGAGCATTATGACTTATTGATCTTGGCTTTTGGTACCTCTGTTGTGCAAGTAATATTGTAATTGTACAGTGTTAAGCTTCAGTAATGATCATACACTATTGAAGCTTGAATCTAAAGCTTCTTACACTTCAGCTATTCAGTTGTTTGTTCTTAGATCGATTTAGAATTACAGGGGATGGTTTACAAACAATTAAAAAACTGAGTTGCTGAAGACTAGGAACTAATTTTTCCTTCTTCGAGGAGGTTGCTTACCATTGTCCCTGGTATAGTGATTTGTTGATCAGTCGATGTACCTAAAAACCAACCTAACACTTTTTTTCTAGTGTAATTTATCGAGTTACAATGAATTAGTTCCCACTTTGATAAGCAAAATCTGGAGTTCGTTTACTTTGGGGTTGGGAAGAAAATCTGATCCAGCCTGTGCTACAGACCGCGATATCAGGGATCCCTTTGAATGTTTTTTTATCGAGACTTTCATTCGTTTACTTTAGATGCAAGCCGTATTTTGACTGGTAAAGTTATTTAAGATTGCGACTAAAAGGTATAAAACTGCAATTGGACACCAGTTTAAACATACAAAAATGTTTAGATTCTGAACTGAACCAATAAAACAGGTAAAGTGCTGAAATATTGGATGTTATCTGTGTTATGTAGTCCAACAATGATCTTGAAAAAAAATTTGTTGACTGAGCCGAAGATAGCATCTTCAAGTCTAAATCACATCCTAACAAACTTTATTTGGAAATGAAGATACTGACCAGTTTGAGTCTAACTCTTAAACAGGTCAGATGACCACAAGTCCACAACATGCAACACGGGATTCATTTGAATGTTTAATCAAGATGCTTCACAGCTTCAGTCTATTCTCATGAAGCATAATTGCAAATTTTCTCGATATATTATGACTAGTTATAATCAACACGATGCAGTCAAATCCAAATACTAACAACTCCACCCATCACGCCTACTGCAATAATCAACCCATTACCCACACTCATTTTCATGTGCAAATAAAAGATCTCCGTGCACTACCATATCAGATCTCCAAGTCTCATATTCCTTACGAAAGGCAATCGGGGCTAGAAGAGAGCACTACTAGCTGCCAATCCCTAGCGCGTTCCATCAATCTCACATAATCCGTTCAATAATTGGGTCAGGTTATAGGAATTAGGACCACCTCTTCCTCCAGTAACGTTCATATAAATGATAAAATAGCAAGTAGGCTCGCTAAGTCTGTAACAAATGGACTTTTAAGACAGTTCTATCTTAACTTGGGCAAGTGGCAATAAGCTCTTCAGCTAAGATTTGGCAAGGTTACATGATCTACCTACCCCAGATTTTTCGTTGGTCATGCACATACTAAGAATATCTATATAATTATCTCCTAGATTTTAAGGCATATGCATAAAAGGATTCATAAAACAACATTTATTGCTAATACGACGACGATGCACTTTTGTTTGTCCTTACTGATAACAGGGGCCACTTTAATATCCGACCCTTAAGATAATTCGCTAGCCATCTTATCTAAACTAAATTGCTAGCCTGTGTTACGTAATAAAATTGTTCAATTTACAAGGACCCCTTCTTTTAGCATACATAAGGATAAGGAAATGGCTAAGACAGCAGATTCAAGGACAAATCTAGTAAAGTATGAAAAAGAAAGCTCAACTATGAGTATCACACAGACCTAATCTAAAGAAAAATTACATTTCAAGTATCCTTGATCAAGATATTAATATTGCAAATATGTCCCCACACATAGCACATCAGCATATTAGTCGACGCGAGAGATTTTCCAGACAGAAGAGTCTCAATCTTCTATTGATTGAGAGTTTAATTTCATACAAGTTCTTGGAATATATTCAAAAGAGGATATTGCCCTCTTAGTTGCCAATATTGGCATCTACAACCTTACCTGAATACCCGCCACAAGGGCAGTCATCTAAAATGCTCGGGGATGGAATTATACAGGTAGGGAAAAAGGTTGATTGATCTGTACTTAATTTTACGAATCCCAAACCTTTTTTTTGAGGGATCAAGTATCCAGATATCATACATTGTAAGAAGAACAAACCTAAGAAAAATAGTAATTGACAGAACTGTGCAGAACAAAATGAATAGGTATTAAATGAAGCTACACATCACCAAAACCAGGTATTTCGGCTATCAACAACTTTCATGGAAGTTGAAACCAAAGGCATTTTCCCAAACTCAGCAACGAACCTGTTGATGCATTCAGTTCTTTTTTCGGTGTGACCTCCCAAGCTACTAATTCCAGTAGAGCCAATCTCAAAAATCTTGCCTGGAATAGCATAAGCAACAAAGAACATAAGTAAACTGGATTCAAAAGCACATGAAGCTAATATAACCAGACGCAGAACATTTTCAGTGGACCAGGCAGAAGCCACTACTGAATAATTAGTTAAAACAGCTACAGTACAAAGGTAACTAGAAGACACTCTCATTTGACAAGCGTTACTGGAGCAATATGAGTGTTATCATCCATGCTACCGATATGCAAGTTCAGAAGTTTTAAACCAGCTATTGGCACATTTATTAAGGTAAGAGAAGTTAGAAGGTCCTATCCACGATTAATTATCCACTCACCCCTAAGTCCCTAACTATCCCTCCCTAAGAAGTAAGAGCCTGAGGGCCTGACTACCAATCTGGCAAACACCAAGCTAACCCCTTCAAGCTAGGACCAGCCCACCATCAGCTTTTTCAACAACTCAAGAGAATATACCAATCCCTCATCTCTCATTATACTAATCTGGAGAATCTTCCCCTTCTCTTCAGTTTCTCATGCACTTTCCTTTTTTTTCTGCGCCTATTATTCCCTTCCCCTTATCAGCAAAGATTTCCCTTTTCCTATTTACAAAAGTTGTTAAAGTAGATTTTAGAGTTGAAGAAAAAAAAGAGTAAGGTGTAGATCTAAGATATGTTACCAGAGCAAATAAGGGTGGGTAGTTCTGTTTTTTCACTTCCTCATTTCCTGTTAGGACGAACAATGGAGCAGGAAGGATCACGAATATGTTTCGTAAAGGTGTGGTGTTCTCATAGTTGACAAAGGGGTGGGTGTGGCCAGATGGTTTATAGTTGGGGAGGGTGGTGAGGTTGGTGATGGTCTGATTGGGAGTGAAGGGGATTGGACTTGTGATCTAGCAAAGATTGAAGGAGGTGGAGTTAATTGATAACTATATTTTATTATGTTGATTGTTAGGTTAAGGATAAATACATTTGGGCTCTAGAGCTTTCCCAAAATAAAGTGTAGCAATTTTGCAAAAATTTAAAGGTTAAGTATAACCTTGAGTTAGCCTTGACCTGTATAGTGTATAGGATACATAGGGAACAAATTACAAGGTCAGTTCACACTGACTTTCTGACCAAACAATCACCGAATTAAAATAACTTCATTCTTGATGCTACCTTTCATCATTATGAATTTGAAAATATGTTGGAATGCAAGAACATTTTATAGGTATAACTAATATGAAAATATGATAGCAGCCAGCAAAAAACTTAGCCTTATAAAATGGGATATTGAACAACAATAACACAAATTGCTATTACACAATAGCCTTATAACAGCAACCTTTGTTTTATGCACACAGACAGTTGACATATATTACTTCGTAAACTAAGTAATTGATGCAGTAATATAATACAGCAAGAGAGTAAAGATGGTAGCATATATATATGTATATATAAAAGAAAAAAAGAAAAGAAAAGAAATGAAGAATATAAATTTAAAAAATCAAGAAGGGGGATTAAGTTACCAAATTCAGGTAGCAATCATCTGTAAGATGGTCTCAACATAGAACGTTAATTAAGATGAAAGTGGGTAGTGGTGGTCCAACTTTGCCCATATGATTATACGAAAAGAGAAGAGTGAAAAGCAAATAGACTATGGCAAATCTATCTTTGGGTGTGAAATGTTCCCCAAAAGCGAAGTATTGCAATTAATGTGGAATTCCATAAAGGCAATTATAGCAACACATAAAGTACCAAGGAAGTATAAGATAAATTAATCACCTTTCACCCAAATAGGAGGAGCACCAGTTGCATTTGCAACAAGAAATGACATTGCAATATCTTCACAATTCCTGCATAATTATTCTGAGCAAGTCATGACAAGGTCAACAACTGACAAATAAACCAGGCAGTACCACAGGCATAATAAATCTTGGCCCAGGCCAACTACTGTCATAAAGCTCCAATGTATACCTGTTATGAGCTACATATTCTCTTAGAGATGCTGGAAACTCATTTGTGTACATTGCCAGATACTTTTTGTGGAAAAAAGCTGCCTTGGATAGAACCATACTATAAGTGCCCGTCCACCAAACAGACCACCAACCTCCATATTCAAAGTAATCCCTATTGCTTCTCTGCAGACGAATTTTAAGTAAGCAGATGCAAAGTAATAGAGTTATGAAGATAGCCATATAATCATACACAACTAACACAAGTAACAGAGCTATACGTTAAAACAAGAAAAGGAGCTCGACTTAACAGTTAATAGAATTCTTAAGAGCCTTAGTAACTTTGTAATTCGTCATGTTTGTGGAAAAACCGATTGCTACATAGACAACTTATGAAAAAAGGGAGTTGAAAAAGTCAACTATGTGGTTGAGAACTAGAAGAGACTAAAGCCAGCAGATTAAATTAACATAATCAAGATGGGATCTCATTATATTTTAACCAAGTTGTACAGCCCCAAGATAAAGACTATACATGTATTGGTGCCCTTACATATAAGTATATAACTTAGCAAGTGGAACAAGACTCTTTCATAAATATTTCTATTTTCATGGTGGAGTAACGGAACAAAGAACAAAGGTAGGAACAGATAAAGATAGAAACTTGAAAATATTATTAAGTTTCAATTTACATAGACTCTGGTGCAAACATGGTTATGTTTACAGGTGCCCATTACTCTGTCAATTGTGGATTGTTCAACAAAAGTATGTTGAACAAAGAATTCCTATGGCTATAAGGTCCACAATGATTAATCTGGATCTCTTGTTTCTTTCCCCAATAAGTTAGGAAGGGGAAGGGGAATGGCCAATAAGGCTAAGATCACAGACTAGAAAATCCAAGCAGCACATATACTTTAGATAAATTAGTTTCAAAATAGAAGAAAACACTCAAGATCACATACACAAAAATAACACTTTTCATCCAGAAAAGTCAGATGAGGTAAGCTCAAAACTTTTACTTCAGACCTTGCAGACACAGAAGGTAACAAAGCACATCAGGCATTGCACAGACATAAGACAGCTAAGTTCTATATTATGGGGGGAAAGAAGGAGAAAGATAAGAGAGATGCATACAGAGTGATCCAGCCAATGCATACGTGGCACAAATCCAACCATTGTATCAGGAGCACTCTGCCATACACTATAGGCAAGTTCAACAGAAGAGCAAGGGAATATGACATCATCGTCAATTGAGAAGACCACATCTGTCTTCAGATTCTTGATTTCTTTAAATCTATTGTTCAAGCTGTCTTCGTTATTGACGTCGAATTTCAGTTCAACTTTTCGGCCATTTTTTGAGTATTTCTGCACGATACGCTTTAAATAACGATTGAGAGACTCTGATGGAGGATCGGGCTCACTCCATACAATGTGTATGGAGTCCAATCGTAGACACGCTGCATAATGGGAGATGGATTTCTTTAATAGATCATTTCTCTTCCAGGTATTAATTAAAAGTGTATAATCCTTCCTGCAATAACAGACACCAGTCAGATACAGGGGGCTACCTAGCAGCACCAAACTAAATGAATCAAAAGATTTACTCAACAATAACTTGGTACTAAATGCTACTATAGAAATATTATCATTCTATAAATAGCAATCTAGTGGCTTCATTTCTTCCTTAAATTGTCACAAAATGCAATGAAGTTGGCAATTCACTCCCTTTTCTTTATAAGTCCCCAAGTTTGACAAGGCACAAATGCTCGATAAAATATATCCTCAATTATCATTAAATATAAATTAAAAAAAGTTAATGTACGAAAACTATACATTGAGATGAACCTAACAAGATCCTCCATGACTATGTTTTTTCTTATGTATAAAATTTAAATCACCAACAATGGTCAAAGTTGAGTATGTGACTGTGCAAAATGGAGAGAGTATAAAGTTGAGTATGTGACTGCCTGACTGGGGCACTAAAAAAATGGAGTATAAAGTTAGACCCACAACATACTCTAAACCAGCAAAACCAGTACTTCCAAGTTCCAAATGTCTCAATTATAGAAGAATAACTTGCACTATTTATCACTCTCCAATTTCCAAATGACACCCCCAATCCATCAGCTCAAAATTTCAGTATCAGCTCCAGTATGACCATAGCATAGCTACCATGTTCATAATATTTATGAATTATGATGATCAACAGCTACCATGATGGTCAAATAAATGCCAAAATTAACCATACATTAAACTCCTTCACAATAACTGTTATAAAAGTAAATAATAATCATAATTTTAAATTTATTATCAAGCATAATCATAATTTGCTTTCATATATCCCAAACTGAGGGTGGATCCAAAGTGCTCTTATCTTGCCATGAGGATCCGTGCCTCACATATCTCCAAAAGGGAAAACTACTTACCTTTGCAATCCTAAGACTTTATGTGCAAAAAACCTGGCACAACAACCCATCTAGATTTTTTTTAATCTAGGAAAGAAACTAGTAAAAATGTAGGTTCAGCCATCAATTAGATTGATGTGTGATTCATAGAGCTTAAAGTAGGTAAGGGTCATTTCAAGAGAATTTCAGCATTTTGTAGAACAAACCGCCTTTGTGAAGCCATTATATGCACAAACATCCTCAAATTTTAATCATATCTTGACTTTTGCAGAACTTTTAATACACCCCGAAGGGATAGAACTCTGTAGAAGTCAACTTCCACAATAAATTCTGGATAAAAAGGCAAACACTGAATTGTGATTATAGGGTTGGATAACTTTGATCCTCTTATTTTCTACAGAAAATGCCCATTTGGAGATGTACTTAGCTAGGATTATATTATGCCCCTACCCTTAAATCCACACATATACATGCACGTAATAATTTGTTCTATCAACAAAACAAACGAAACCAGTATTGAGAGCATCAATTTTGGGCCTTTATATTAAGCTCATGAAAAAGTGCAGAATGCCAGAATCCCAAGATTCCCAACCACTTAGGTTCATGTGGATTGGAGGCAGAATTTGCATAGAAAGAGTGTTCCCACTTTCACCAAGGATTAGTGTTCACAAGTTTAATGCAAGAATTCATTGGTTCATGTAACAGTTCATGACAAGTATTGATATATTTAATGGTCCATAATTGAATAAAAAGATTATTATTTTTAAAAATAATCAAAAACTGTGTTTCAGCTACACATAGTATGTCCAGCAAATTACCAAGGCCATGTATAAACTACAGCTATTCTTCCAAGTAACAACACTGCTGCAGGCCTGCAGCTAATGTTCATGCCTTAATGGACAAAGCAAGAAGAAGTGTACACCTCAAGAGATTGCTCAAATTTTTGCTAGAATTTCTAGGCCCATCAAGTCAAGCTCAGAAACAGATGATAAGATTGAAGCCATTTTTGCAGACTTGCAGTTATGGTTTCATGACACTATGCTTCAAATATCTACATAATAATTTTAGAGTCAGTTTACTCTTAATGACGAGCATTCATACCCTTAATCCTCATATGTCAAATCCTCTTAACTTCCCCATTTTAATTTTTATTAAAAATACTATCACTTATCATAACTTCCAATATCAATAAAATAACTTCTTCTAATCATATTCGACAAAAATAATAATAACCGAATATCAATATACCCCGTGCTTTAGCACAGGTATGCTTTAGTAAAATGATAATGAATTGGGTTGGGTCTTTAAAGCATCAAATTACATGACTTCTCAGCTATTTAACTTATTTTATACTTCGTATTCAATTTGATATGTTCTAGAGGTTTGACCAATTTCAAGTCTTGGGGTTATTGCTCACGCAAGCAAATAAATAAAAATAATAATAATAATTGTTCTGCAAACATATTAAATGTTCGTCATTTTGCAAGTTTTGCTCAGATACTTATAATTCCGTTGTAAGCAGTGTTATTGAGAATAATTGGTAACAGTGGCTATGAAGATTTGGGTCATGCTGCTACTTTAAGACTTTGAAGGCATGCCTAGATTGCCTACAATAGGATAGGAAAACTTAAAGGAGAAAATATATTCTGATGTTTGTATTGCTAGGATTGAGATTATAATTGTAAGGGGGTAATTATAATCAACTTAATATTGGAGTAACAGTTACCCTACTCTCTCCCGGGGTGATTTTCCCCTTCAAACAATTACCCTCTCTCATCTTTGTATCAGTTCTCTTTCCACAAGTTTCTACCTCAATCAGTCTATCTTACTCCAGGAGTCCTTATAGCCTAACTCTTCCTCTACCCTCACCACACCACAGCAGCACCTTCAGGTCTCCTCTTTCCCTTTTCTATAACTAGCTTTGTTCATTAATCCTGAAATCCCCTGGAAATAATGCCAAACTTGAGAAAGGAAGTAAAATTTACCACATTATCTTGTCCCTTAATTGTTAGGGGGAATTCAGGCATGCCCTGAGTAGACATAAACACAGACCATGATATAAGATATGTCGTACCAGGTTAGCAAATTAGGTGAATTCTCAATAGATACCCTTATCCTCTATGAAGTATGAACATCTGCAGTTCCTTAAATTTTGAAATGATAACAAAACATTGACATTTAGGACCTTATAAAGTCTCAACTAGAAACAACTATAGGTTTTCTCCCCTTTCTTTTTCATCATTCAATCCTTTCTAAAGACACTAGCAAAGTATAGTTGCCTTTTACGGAATTATCTATCCACTTACGTAGCAATTGCACAAAATTCCAAATTGATCGGGGAAACTCTCAGCACGCAACATAATGGTTTCCTTTGAGGAAGATTGTGACCTGATTGCTAAGTATCTCATCAAAAGGCTTTCTACACCAAATGAGACACTCTTTTACTAAATTCCTCTAAAATTTGCACTAATGGCAAGTTGCTAAGTTTGAATTAGCACAGTAACTTATAAACTAAACTATAAAAATCCAATCATTATCATCTTCAACAAAATTCCAATTTAAGCAAAAATCAACACCAATCCAATAACATACTCCACAACACTACGAATCAGTAAGTATACAGAAAAACTATACAACAAAATCATACGAGTAATAAACAAACGCAATTGAAGTAAATAAAATGCAAAATCAACGAACCTGTGCAAATCAGATTGATCGACAAAACTGTGATACTGAGTCCATTGAATGAAAGTGGAAGCTCGAAAGAAGAGCAAGATCAAAGTGAAGAAGATGCAAAATCCAAGCAATAACTTAACCTTAACGGATCCAACAGATAGGAAAGCGAGTTGCCGGAATCGCTGAGCAGCTCGCCGACTCAAAGGCGAACCTCTCATCGCAACCACAACAACACTCCGTTGCAGAAACTCGGAATCTCACAGAGCATGGTGGTTGTCAATGGCGAGTCAACTGGTTCGTGAACTCGCCGGAGTATCTCATCGGGAAAGTTCGCCGGCGCCGGAGAAGATAAAGGAGAGAGAATTAGGGTTAGGTTTGTTTCAGTGGTAGTTGGGTAAGCAAAACGACGTCGTTATAGTTGACAATTCCGGGCCAGAAAATGTTAAATCGAATAAGCGAGAGGGGGAAGTGTTTGGTGTTTGCATTTGATTTGGACGGAAATTTTTGAAAGTGCGGCATATGATAGTGAGGGATTTTTTTTTTATTATTTAAATAAAATTTAATAACTTTTTATTTTGTGGTATTTTTTTTTTTTTTTATGAGGTCATGAGATAGAGAAACGTTGAAATTGGACACATGGAAGATTTTGATAGGATATGAATTTATTGATTCAACGGTTGGTGGCATAAAATAATTTGTATGAGTTGCACTAGCATTTAAGTGTGAAAAATGAACTTGTACAACCAATTTTTGGTATAGCTAATTTTTAATTTTTATACCCGTTCCATATAAGTTGGAAGCGATTATAAATAATCATTACTGTATCAATTTAAAATTTTGAAATTAATGTAAGTGGTTGAGGATTTGACAATTCTTATAATTTTGATCAGGTGGTTAATCTAATCCGTACTATTAATTAGTTATAATGTTATTAAATGGTCGTCACATTAGTTCATACATAGCGGCTAAAAGGTCTTTTTTAAAAAAGGAGGGGAGGGGGGAGGTTCACCTTACAATAGGAATTATTTTAAGTAGATTTGATATGTCCGTTTTACTAATATTGACGAAAAGCAATTAGGAAAAATTTAAGTTTGGTACCCAAAATTAAAAATATAGTTTCAATTTGTAGCTACTATAAGAAATTGACTAATCGAAAAAGTGCTAAGAACATTTAAGAAATGAGAAATGTGTAACATAAGTGAAATCCAAGAATACATGATAGTATAAGTAGAATTTAGTTGCTCATGTAAAGCAATTAAAGATAAATTAAGATAATGCACTAGTAATTAGGGTTGTACACTAGTCCAATATCAAATCAAATTAATACCAATTAGATTAGAAGATTGAAAACTTTATATATGTCAATACCGGACTAATTCAACCCGATTTTAGACTAATTAATTTAGACCCTTTTTATGACCACCATATTATATTATATATGGGTATTATTTTTGTTATTTATATACTCCATATATTTTTCTTCTTTCTAATAAATTGCTATAATTATATCATATATTCATAACAAATTATTTAAAAGCCAATAAATGCTTACATACTAGAACATTTTCTTTTGAACTACTCTAAACATTACCTATCAAGCTTTCATTTTCTCAAGGCAATATTAGTCTCTATCAAACTTTCAACTTGGTCATATAGTCTTTGTTTTATTGTTCTTTGGCTTCAAACTTTGTATTTAAAGAATAGTCATTAAATTTGGCATATTAAACATTTGAATATAATGGTTGTTGATTTTTTTTTTTTAATATTTAATGACGATTTCACGAGCTGAGGTACGTACAGTATATAGTACTTAAAAAAATACAAGTAGCAGATAAGTTCTAGTATTATAAACCATTGGCGGACTTGGCCTTGTGCCTGGTGGGTCAAATGACTCACCAGGGCCCAAATTTTTTTTTAAGTTTTTTTAAAAAAAAAAATACTAACTTTGAACCTTTTGTTAATGTAGTTGGGTTTTTGATGAAATGTGAACCTAATGCTTGTACAAATTTTAATCTTGTCAATTATTAGTTTGTTAATTATTAGAGAGCTAAGTTTGTCATGTTGTCAATTATTAGCTTGTTAATTATTAGTTTGTTAATTTTAGTCTTGTCAATTTTAAGCTTGTTAATTATTAGTTAGTATTGTAATCTTGTCAATTTTCTATTTGGATGATTTTTGTAAATAATTTTTTTTGGGAATTTTGGTAAAATTTTTTTTTTTTACATATTTGGTTATCGATTGTGACTCACCAGTCGGAAATTCCTGGGTCCGCCACTATTATAAACCTAACACATTTTTTACAGACTTGGATTCAACAATTCACAACCTAATGTAAGTATTCCTTTCGAAAGTCAAACCCACAAAGTCAAGAATAATACGCTACATTAATTTATCTTTGTGCCCAATTGCAAGACTGTGGAATCTACTCATCTAGTAGTGCATTTCTAAACAGTAAATTGGAAATGATGAAGAATCTCAATGGCTCAATTCATCATATGTCGGGCTAAAAACAAAAAATAAAACATCTCCTATTGGATTTTTTTTTTTTTTCTTTTAATATTCAACTTCTTCTAACTTGAATGAATTATACCTCTCTGAATTGGTTTAATAAATTTCTTTTTAAAAAAAAAAAAGAAAAACGGTGACAACAGTTAGATTTTGGGGGTACGGGTTCATATAAACTAACTTCGATCCAAACAATATGAGTATTTCATCTTACTGCTAGCGCTAGACGAGCCTTGATGTTACCTATTCATTAAAAAAAAAAATCAAAATCATGAGCTAACATTGATGTTATATAGACCTTGTTTGGTAAAGAGCTTATTGAGAGCTTTTAGCTTGTTGTGATATATTAGAGGTTTAACTATTTAAAAAAGCTAATTTGAGTTTTTGGTAAATAGCTTATATATTAAAAGCTTTTTCTGAACTTATTGAACAATTAGCTTTTTTGCTACGAAGTATTAAACGCACTAAAACAACTAACAATTAACAGCTATTTATCAAATAGTTTTACACAATCAGCTATCTACAACCAGTTAGTCAAACTAGCTAATATAACAAACTAGTCATCAAATCACCTAATAAAATCAGTTATATTAACTAATCAGCTACCAACTAATTACCAAACAGGGCTATAAATCGGTTCCTTTCTGCATAAAAAAAATCTCAACTTTCTGGATAGCCCAAATTAATATAATTAAGGACTTAAGGGGTTGATCGTAAAATTTCAATTGTACTATTAAAAGTAAATCTCTTCGTAAGCAACTAAGCATATACGGACAAAAAAGTAGCCAATGCTTTGAAGTTTTGCAATATCAGTGAAATTTTTTCCATACAGAACTTAAATTAAGAAAATCCCCTACATCTTGTTTAATCTTCCTTGGGAAAATTTTATTATTCAACAAAATGTAGTCTGTAATGTTTGTAGTAGTGTTTCTTTATACGTAGTAAATAGCTTTCTTGAAGAACAATATACAAGATCATATTAAAAAATATCTAGTAGTACTTGTACTTACATCATCAATTGAGCAAAGATAAAACAAGGGTTAAAAGCAGACATATGCTACACTTTGGCCTAAATGGCCGACGTACTCCAATTCGTTTACAAGCAGCAGCCTCAAATGTTGCTTCACAAAGGAAGAACACGCGCGCTATAACTATCCAAGAACCATCTGAATTCATTTTCAACATCTCGGTGTAGGTTATAAGGGAAGGGATAAGCATCAATACCGCGATCCATTAGAAGTTGATAAGCATGTATTGTGAGAATCCGACCATCTTTTCCAAACGCAATGAGGTCGTTAAACTTGTTACTACCCTTCAAACATATGTGCTCCCATATGACATCTGCGCGAGCAGGGTCATGGGGACATTCGAGCCATGGCATTGCAGTGAAACATTCAAGAGGAGAAATATTTGCATAAAAATCCATGTGAACAAACACTACTTCAAAATTAGCATCTTTCTTCTCCTTAATTTCATGGTACAAACCTTTAATCCAATTATATGATATATCCATGTGATCATCCATACAATTATCTGTCCATTCAAGGTAAAGCAGGACATTCCTACCGCGAAGCTCTGCCACACTCACACGCGTACCATCATTAGTACAAACATAGCTTTGCTCCTTAGACAACACTAACAATGACTCCAAGGTTAACTCCCTAAGCCTTGCAGTCTCTTTTTCAATCATGTTCGCGATTGTGAAAGGATATCCATCAATACCAAAATTTCTTATGACAGTTTCACCATAAGGATTCACATATTTACCACTAGTCGGGTCTAAAATAATCAAAGTATCCATGGAGTGAGTTTCGCTAAGTCGGCTCAACCAATGGCTTACACTATCCTTGAAGGGTAACACCCACCAAGATGTTATCCCCCTCTGTACTAAATCAGCATTTACATACTCTATAAACTTCTGTGGTTCCTCGTCGGGTTGGTATATCAATACTATTTCTAACTCGTAACCTTGCTTACAACGACATAGCTCAAACACCTCATGGAGTTCCCCCATGAAATCCCCATCTCGATACAAATACAATCCCACCAATTTTTTCTTAAGGTCTGATACACAAATTGTCCTGTTTTTACCATTGTTGCTGACTAAAATGTCAGAGGGTTTGCACCTCAAGATTTCTTCAAGGGGCAACAAAGGTCTATGTGCTTCTTCATAAAGGGTTTCGAACCTCTCATTCGTAAAGGGAAACGAATCAACACCATACAACTCAAGAAAATAAGAACTTTCTTGCAAAACCCTTTGATTAGGGTCTACAACAATGACACTAGGGTCATAATGTACATTAAGCCCTGTTAATCCAATAGACTTACAAACATAATCACGAGACTTCGAGTCATAAAAAGGGATTGCAATGCAATTAGGGAACGAAGAGAAGAAATTAATAAAAACAGTTTCATTGTCAACCCACTCACGTTTCATCTTAGCCACCAAGACCATCTGAATATCATCTCTTCCTGAGTCGAACCACTCGGAGAATGCAGCTTTTATAGCCCAACAATGATTGTCTACCGGGCTTTGAGATTCTATAGGAAGAAAAAAGCAAAAGATCATGACATATTTCCTCCTTAAGCTATCAACTTTGACTTTGTCACCATTTTTTCGAATTAGAAAATCCCTATAATCCGTCGACAACAAGGATATAACATCAACATGATCACCTTCTTTGAGAGAAGAATTGTAAGGCGTTAAGGTATCAGGATAAACCGGTTCCTCGTGAATCGGGTCCGAGGTTCGACATGATTTAGCTCGTTGGAGGTCTTTTTGGTATTGAAAAGGAGGAATTAGCTTACCCTCCATAGAGTTTGTCATTGGTGTAACCTCTAAACTCTTAAAACTTTTTTTTGTCAGGTGTTAGGATTGTTTCCATTTCTTTTCTTTAATTCCTATTTTAAGATTAGGACACCTAAATTAGTATCGAGATAAAATCACGAATCCTCTTAATCAATAAGGAGTATCATACTGTCAAATGGAGAAATGAGATGAGATAAAACAAATTAAATTTCTTACGAAGTTGAATGATTTCCAAAATTTGGGTAGTGTAGGATTATTAGTTGGCTTTGGGCCTAATTATTTGGGCTTATCGCATTGGATCACGTGTCTAACAGAAGTTTCTAGCTTTCTATTATTAGACCTTAACAACTCAACTCCTAAAAAGGAAAATTTGTACTCCTTAGACAACCAAAATAATTTTGTCCCATTATTGTCAATACTAAATTAAAATGCAAAAAATTTAAGATGAACAAATTGATATTGTATATTGGCTAACTTTAGACACCCAAAATGAAGGTTTTTTTTTTTTTTTTTTTTTTTTTTTTTTTAAAAATACTCGTATTATTTTTTACATTTATCTTTTATAAAGTGATACAAGTACGAACACAATTTTATTATTATTTTTTTAAGGTAAGAAGGACCCTATAGAGACGGCACCTATCATAGATTTAGCCAGCTCAGCTCCATAGGTCGTCACTTGAGAGTAGAGGGGGAAGGTAAGGGAATTCCCCTATTCCCAAACACTTTGTAGTTGGTGGGGCTCAAACTCGGACCGCAAAGTACGAACACAATGGTTATAGGCTTATAGCAAAGGAGGGAGGGGAACACAAAATTAAATTACGAAATAAATAATAGTTAAAACTCGTATAATACTAGAAATACATTGATATTGTATCTTCAATTCTCTAAATTCAAGACAACTTTGGCTACTAAAGGAAGATATATCGAATAAGTTTCAGGGCGATTGTATGATATGACAACGCAATATACCAGTCATATTGATGTTGTGCATGTTAGAGGATCTCAAAGTTACAAGTTTAAGTTTTGTACTAGTAAATTAAAATACTACATTACTCCCATTTAAAAGAGGGAAAAAAAAACACTCACTTGCAATATAAAGTTATAAACACACAGTCCTAATAATAATACGAGTAAGTGAACATGGAAATTGAATTTCCTTATATAACTTGTAAAACTAAAAATTAAATTTAAATTAACGATGGACATTGATTTATTTTACAAATTATATATATGAGTACAATTTAAATATCGATCTTGCTAACAAGCGTCCCGGGACGTTAGATAAACATAAATTATATCGGTTGAAATGGTATTAAGTTAGGAATTCATGACAAAATCACACGTCGTTTAATGTAATTAATGTTAATTATACTCTAATATTTGCACTTTAATTCTCTTATCTATCGCTCCGGGAGCGCTCATTAGCTTTTACCTTTAAATATTACTATCATCATTAATTAAATTACCGCTTATCAATTTAAAAAAAATTTATAATTCTCGTGGGTGATGTGATGTCCAACCCAAATGAGGTAGTGAAATGATAAAAGTGGGGCCATACATCAAAGCTTAAGCACTGCACCGGCCAAATAATAATTTGGCATGACCAACAAGCTCATTGGTCGGTTTTTCCAATTTTGAACATTCGAAAGATATTGTTTCGGCGCAAGATGTATGGGTATAACAGTGTAATGGGCATAAGAATTGCGTTGCTAAAATCATGAAAAATGAAACCTAATGCCGACGAATGCCATTTATTAGGATTTAGACATCTAGAATTTGTTCATCATCTCGGACTTTTATTCTTTTCCTCTCTTTCATGCAATCTCCGAGTATTAGATTACAATTTCTATTTTTCAACTATTGATATATGAGTACTAGATAACGGAAAATATATATACTCCTACTTATTTAATACGAAGTATTTTTTTTTTTGAAAGATAATACGGAGTATAGTTATGATAAAAGTTCATATATAAATTCTCTTTTCATAATTTATTTTAATCATTTCTTTTCACAAAAAAAAAATATAATTATATCATATATGGTACTAATGAAGACTTTTTTAAATTCTTTCAAAAAAAAAAAAAAAATGAAGACTTTTGCAAAATGGTTTCTACTCCTTATAACCAAACATAAGAATGGATTTTTCTTTCTAATTTATTCTAGTCTCATTATCGTTTTTTTTTTTTGTGTTTATCAGAGTCATAAGGATTGTGGGTGATAATCGATGAGAGAAGCTTTAACGACTTGAGTTATCCCTCACTCTTTTCATACATGTCGTGATTCATGTTCTTTTCATACATGTTAGCCAAACAATGATCACGGATTATTTATAATTTAGATAATAATATGTATCTTAACAAACTGATAATAATAATTGAATGAATTTTTTTACAACAAAATCAATTATGCCTTAATTTACATAGCTTTGTTGTCATACTTCAATTTCTCGATTTAAAAAATTTACTTTTAATAATATACTGTAAGACATTTTTTACACAACCCATCTTATCAATTAAAACTACGAAATTCAATAAACGAGCAACAATTAGAAATTTCTTTAATCGATCCCACTCGAACAATCTAACCATAGCTTAAGAGGCTAAGGATGTGCTTGACTACCTACACTACAAGCAAGGGAGCAAGCATGAAACAGAGTTGGGTAACTAGGTTCAAAGAAGAAATAAAATTTCAAATATTCCTCAAACTTATAGAAAACCTTGGAAAAATGGTTGCTTAAAAGAAGTGGCCTTAAATTAAGTGACGGTTTATGGTCATGATATGAATTATACGTGGACATGGGCCAACTCCAGCCAACATTAGTTAACATGAAAAGTATTGACAACTATATAACATAATCTATAGTCTTGAGTTGGTGCTGTTGTTGTCGTCGCCCACCACTTAGCATCATTAAGCTACTTAATCACATTTTTATATTTTAATTTTTATATAATTAATCCTATCTTCTTCATTAACTAATCGATAATGATTGTTAATTGTCCTAAATTAGCGTTTACGGAGAATGAATTAGTATTATGGTTTAAATAATACGAACTAGTATAGAATTAATAAAACATACTCTTACATCAATCGTAGAATTATGCTCTTAAGTACACTATTTTAATTACGCTCCCTTATCTAGATTAGCATCATCATTACTTTATTGCTTATAATTCTGGGTATTATAATTCTGATTATATAATTGTTCTCAGACGTTGTCTTCGAACCTTCTGGGCTGCCCTAAATGTTTTTTTTCCAAATTATGATATGGTGCTAGAAAATGGGGGTGTGTTAATCATCAATTTATCATTTCTTTGTATTTAAATTTTTAATTATTTTGGTGAATAGATGATTAATTAAAAAGAATGATGATGTAAATATGATTTGATCACAAGATATGAGTATTGAATTTTACTAGTACAATGCTACAATCGAGTTAAATTTTCAAATACAAAGGAAGCATATACAAATGCGACTACTTTGCCATCTATTCCTAATTAATATATTTATGGCCAACTTTATCAAACTTGACATAATTAATTTCTATGACTAACTAATACAGAGTACTTCACATATTATAGCTTGATGATATCGATCACAAAAATACTATACTGTGATATTGTGATTTAAGATCTTATTTTGCATAATAATTAATTGAGTTTTTTGTATAATACTCCATATGCATAGAGTGTTGATTTGGGAAATTAGACAGCAACATCTTATTGTCAGAATTCTTTAAACAACATACCATATTTTATTATTATTATTATTATTTTTTTTTTTTTTTTTGAGGTTTCAATGTTATCTCCACATTGCTGGCTATACTTTACCTATCTATTCAATCACCAGTAAAATATGAATCCAATAAACCATAATTTTTTTTTTTTTTTCGAGTTCAATTATTTTCATATAACAAAATAATTATACGAAGTACTTCATATATGATACGGAGTATTTTATTTTTGATAAAGCTTCATTATTCTTCCGGGGGCAACAAACTAGGGATAATCTAATTAATTTGCTTTTTACACAATTATTATACTTATGTAATACAACAAAAAGGAAAGTTGCTATACATACAAAATTGGAAAAATACAACAATTCACATCCTTAAATTACAATCTCTCAAAGTTTGTAATGAGCCAATTGGCCCAATTCATGGACCGTTTTATGCATATATGAAAGAGACATAATTTTTTATTTATATATATGAATATAATGAAAAGATTCTTCAAAGAATTTTATTTGGCACCACATTTAATTTTTGTCCATTTATCTGCACAAATTGCTGATAGAATACAAATCTTTCTTCTCAAATTATTTTGCTCCAGTGACAAATATACTAGGAACAAAGATATATAATCATAAATTTCGCTTTCGCACCATTGGTATTCAATAAACACTGTACATCGTGTGTTTAATTATAACTGATTATCAATGTAATTCTCGATGTTACTTATTCCAAAGTAAAAAAAAAGGATATGCATGTTTTGAAAATAAAAATACATAGTCCTAGTTATACTCGTCATAATATTTTATTATACGTATAATCGAATACATGTTTAATTATTGATTAAATAAACATTCATAGTTTAAAAGTTGATAATGATGAATGAATAATTATATTGAGCAAAATCCCACACAAATAAGCCAAAAGGATACTCTAACATAAACTTGATTATATGTTGAATTATTGAGCTCAAGTGAAATTAACAAGAGAGATTAGCAGCTAATTAAACAGTGGAAGCTAGTTAAAATTAGCTGGTTTTGTCCGATGATATAAATTATGTAATATAAATGAGCAGCAAATCATGAATTATACCTAATTGCCCAATCTCTAATGAAGTCCTGGTTGGCCACGTTTCTACCCAGAAAAGTGTTACAAATCCAACGTCATATACAATTCCTGAATTTCTTGGCTTCTATAATCCTATTTCTTTAATTTGTTGCATTTGCTCTCCAACCTTTTAAAAGTACATGACATTTAGCCATTTATGGAATTCTTTAAACTTGAGATT